CGCTTTGACCGTGCCGGCGGCCTTCCGCTCAGGCGCAATGGCGCCGACTTCCCTCTCGGGAGGAGCAGCCTAGCTTTCGCCCGTTGATACGCTATCTTGCCCGTTTCTTCACGGATCCTCTCCATGTGCCGGGAGACACAGATCGGCCACGAGACCGGTGTCACGATCAGTCGAACGTAGCTTCCGGCCGGTGGAACAGGTGCTCTGCTCTTCTTTTTGCGTCACGCTCGCCGAAGGGAACCGGATCACTGGGTCAAGGCTGTGGACATGAAGACCAAGAACAGGACGCTGTTCAGTAGGATGTGCAAGTGCTATGGCAAGCAGTCGGAATCGCACGCGCAGGCACAGCAGACAGAGCAAGAGGCCGCCACTCTGCCGGAAGTGCTCGACGAGGTAAACTCTCTGGTCACTCACAGTGGTCACTCTCAGTGGTCACTGGGACACTCTGTGTGACGTGGATTATGCTGTGCAACGCGATTCGGGATCAGGTCTGTGTTTGTTTCGCTGGCTGGTATTTTCCTTGCGAATTAGGTTAGGTCTCTGTTAGGGGATTAACGCGGATAAGGGTGGGTTGTTGCTTGTGTTTGCACATGTATACGGGTATGTTCATCTCTGAGAAGATGGTTGCTTCGTTTAGGATGCATTTTGCAATTTATTTCCTCCATTTTGTTTAACAATTAATATTTCATATTTATATTAATTATATTATATAATAATTATATTGATATTAATATGTAATATTTTGTTCATTTTATTTTCGAACGTTGATTTAACGTTAGTTAGTTGTCAGGTGGATGAGGAAGATCGGTATCGTAATCCGGTTCAAAAAATCGATTTTTTTTTTTTTACACTTTCTCAAAGTACACACTTTCGAAAATATCCGTGTGAAAGGATTTGTTGGAATTCGTAAAATTAGCGAAGTTATAGAGGTTTGAAGTGAAGAGTACAGGCCTCGTACAATGGGTAACGAAAACTTTGAACGCGTTTTTCTCGAAACCGTGTTTTTCCAACTGGCTGACGGGGTATCTCGCGTTTTAGTTGACCGATTGACTCGAAATTTGGAGGAAATCTTCACTGGATGTGCCTTTATCGTGTGTACCGCGGATTTCAAAATCTGACGCTTTTTTCTATTTTTTTTTACCACCCGAAGGACGAAGCACGAGGAAAATCGATATCTGAAATTCAAAATGCCGCCATTTTTTTAATTTTCGAAATTTCGCTGTTTCGGTGGCTCGTGCTATAGCTGTATTCGTACTAATTAAGATGCTTTTTGGTTTTTTCGTTTTTGATAACCAGGTGGTCCGGAATCGTGTCAGCCATTCGAGCTGAAGCAAACAAGTCGATTCTTATAGGCTTGTAGTGGTTGCATGTGTGTATGTACTAGTACATACAGTATGTACCTACAATAGCAATGTTCGGTTGCTTAGGGTGTATTTTTTCCAAAATATTTTGTTTCCAATTATTAAAGTAACGTTAATTAAATTTTAATAACATAACGAATATCCGAATTAGAGAATTAGGTGAATAGGGGTGTGTTTGGGTAATTGGTGTTTGCATATGGATGTATGTATATATATTCTCTTTTGATAGAAACGTAGATTTGTTTGGAACCTAAATTTTTAGAAAATATTTTGTTTTTCAATGTTGAATTAACGTAATTTAATTTTAATATTATTTTATTGGTAAATTTATTTTAATCAACAATGGGGTTTAATATTGGTGGATTAGGATGAATTAGGACGATTAGTGTTCAGATAGGGATATGCACTGTATAATTGGATGTTTTATACCAATTATATATCGATTATGCGATGCATGTGTGCATGTATGTTCATTTTTGGCAGGTTTGTTAATAGTACAAAATTATGTGATTTATCGTCGGTCTCTTTTATTTTACTATGGCGTAGAAGGTATTAGAAGGTTTATTACTACTGAATTGCGAATTGCGGATGATTATGAAACGGTTATTTCGCGATTTGTAAGTGGAAATATATTTATTTTAGATAGGTAGATACGAGACGATCTTGTCGAATTCGTACTCGGTAGGTAAAGTAAATAATATTCGTTTTCGAATTAGTACATGTGTCTGAGTACATCGATAAAAAAATATCTATGAAAAAATTATTTCATTAAAAATGGAAAAGATCGAAACTGAGATAGCTATTACCATAAAAGAAAACATCGAGATCCAGCGATAATATTATGGATATACTTAATTAAAAACTTTTAGGGTCGCCATAAGATGTCAAAAAATTTACAAAAAGAATATATTTTTATCCAAATTTTTTTTTTTTTTGTTATATTCACGAAAGAAATTTTAGATATATTTCGATCTATTTTCATCGGAATATTTTTACGAAGAATTCAGAGAAGGATAATTAAAATTGACACTTTGATTCGAAGAATTGACAATTGCAAAATATTTACAAAAGAAATATATCTTATCCGAATTATTTTTTTTTTATTACATTCACAAAAGAAATTTCAGATATATTTCGATCTATTTTCATCGGAATATTTTTACGAAGAATTCAGAGAAGGATAATTAAAATTGACACTTTGATTCGAAGAATTGACAATTGCAAAATATTTACAAAAGAAATATATCTTATCCGAATTATTTTTTTTTATTACATTCACAAAAGAAATTTCAGATATATTTCGATCTATTTTCATCGAAATATTTTTACGAAGAATTCAGAGAAGGATAATTAAAATTGACACTTTGATTCGAAGAATTGACAATTGCAAAATATTTACAAAAGAAATATATCTTATCCGAATTATTTTTTTTTATTACATTCACAAAAGAAATTTCAGATATATTTCGATCTATTTTCATCGAAATATTTTTACGAAGAATTCAGAGAAGGATAATTAAAATTGACACCTCGATTCGAAGCATTGATAATTTCTGCTTCTCGGAATCAGCCAGTAATTATATTCTCTTATCTTTTCCCGTTTAATTTCGGACACGACGACACGTGGACCAAGCCGTGTTATGTTACAATGATGTAGCCTAGTTGTTGCTTAGAAATTATTTACAATGATGCACTGTCCGAGAATCGGGTCGTGCCAAAATTCCGCGTCGTCACAGAATAAGTAGTGCGGTGAACCTTGAAGCTCTTTATTTAAACAAAATTACATTGGCAGGAGAACTATAGCGCCAGATTGTCGTTACGTAGTTTGAATCTGGTTTATTCTCGTCCCATCGACGTTTAAATAATTCCGTGTCGGGTACTGCATCGACATCGATGATTCACCTATACAGACCATTTCCTTTCCATTTTCAACGAAAACTAACGACAATTCGTCAATTTACCATTAACAAAGTACCATTTTCCGATAGAAAAGGGTGCACAAAAATATTCGTGATTATTTTCAATCGGTATTACTGTCATTTCGAAAATTCCGCCGAGTTCAAAATAATTTACCATAATAGTTTATCATGACAGTGATACACACGTATTAACCTGTTTATCCCAATTCCTAAGCTAGGCAATTTTACTTGAACCTTGTTCAGCACAGATAAAACCCATAATCTTAATAATCTGAACAAAGTTCAATTAAACAATTCTTTTAAGTGTCCTTATCTCGTCTCGAGTAATAAAATGGTAAATTTAGAAGCATCGTTTGACGTCATGCTCGAGCCTCCATTTTAACGCGTGTTGGTCTAAAATAACAAAGAAACGATAATTCCAAAATCGATTTTAAAAAAATAAATAAATAAATAAATAAGTATGACAAAAATATAAAAAGAAAAGGATACAAATTAATTTTCCAGCTCTTCGATGCTATTATCCCTGTAGATATCGTAATTCGAATCGATCTAGACGAATTTCAGATCCAAGAAATGGTAATTCCAAAAGTCACGTCGAAAAAGGAAATAAATAAATAAAATGGTATAATAAAAATATTTAAAAAATGCTACAAATTTCGTCAATTAATTTTCCAATTCTTGGACGCTATTATCACTGTATAGATATCATAATTCGAATCGATCTAGACGAATTTCAGATCCCTCCAGAAGTGTCATTTTATCGGAAATGTCAATTAAAGAATTTCCATAAGTCAGTCGAATTTTGCCCCCGAAAATATGGAGCACGGATACGGCCCTGGGGAGAATTTGGTAAATCACGAAATTTCATTTTGAAACAGCTCGATAGGGTTGAGAACTATAGCGGGGAGGTTGACGTTACTATGAATTTTCAGCCAGTAACCGTGGTCGTTCGTCGGCCATGTTGCAAGAAGCACAACGAGGAGGAAATGTGTGTGCCAATCGTGTCAAAAAAGGCAATTAAGTAATTTACAAATCTCCTTTATAACTGGTCCTCGATTTCTACCACCTCGGTAAAGTGTAAATGGAAATTCGGTGAAAAAGGGATTCGAGAAAATCAAAATGGCGGAAGAAAAATTAATATTTATCTTATATTTCATTTCTTTGGTGGTGCACGAATTTATAAACCTAAAATAAACGTAAAATAAACGTGAAAGTATAGGAAACAGTTTCTCAGAGGGATAATATATCCATTTATATGTGAAAGAAAATGGCAGACAGTCTCGCGGACGTTGACGCTTTAAAATTGATTCCGCCATTTTAGCGCGCGACATTTGAAACGTTCGAGCAACTTCGTAGCATTGCAACTCGATTTCTTCGAATCTGAAAAATATTTCGATGCAATAATTCAAACATAGAGTGAAATAATGACAATCCTTTTGAAAAAAGATTCTTCCTGCGAAAAAATTAAAAAATTTTTAGAATCTTCAATCAACACGTGTAAATTATTTTGTCAAGTAAATACTGTTATTAAACGAAATCGTTTGATAAAAGTAGATAGGTTAGATAAGATTCTACTGCAAAATTGATATAATTAATATTTTAAATCGATCTAAAATAATTTACTAATTGCACGTACGTAATATTTTTCATTCTTGCTAAAAGAATTTTTAAATGGATCCCGAGTTCATGCATATTCATTCTACCTATTTTAATTCGCTTTTATCTCGAATTTCTTATTTTTACATACACCGTGAAATCCTCTTTCGAATTTCTTTTTTCCAACGAATAATTTATTAAAAAAATATAGCCACGTATTTTTTAGTATTTAAAACTACCTCAAATTTTTTTCCTTATTTCAGTGTTCTTAGAGAATAATTAAATAATTCTATTTAATGAAATCTCTTTTTCTTGAATAACATAATTTCATTTAGAAATTTCGAATTTTTTAAAGAAAATTTAATCAACGCGCGAATGGATTCTCTTTCGAATAGAAAAATTAAAGGAATTATAAAAAGTCGAGGAATCAGAGTCTGTAATTTTTGAAAATGAATCTGTAATGGCAGGGAAATATGCAGATAGCTCAGTAAATGACACTCGAATTACACCTTACGTA